AACAAAAATGTGGATGCAATTTTCACAAAAGTAAAAGTTCACTTTTTACAATACCCCCCCCTTTGTTTTTTTTTCAAAATGTTAAAAATAATTTTATAACAATTTTCCCTGAGAAGTGACAACCTATATTTGAAGGGTCATAATAAATGTGGAAGCAAAATGGGTTTTGAAAAATATCCCATTTTGCTTTTTTTCTAAGTCATTAAACACAATTTTTTAGTTTAACAGCAATATATTTATGAGGGATAATACTAACTTTTACTCATTGATTTATAATCTTGAATATTCTAATCAATCTGTATCTAATTAATTCTCTCTTAAGAACAAGAAGAATAATAATTTTATTAATGGCAAAATAGTCATATAAAATAAAATATTCTATATTTTTTAAAAATCAAGTAATGCAGGTATTGAAATGAATTCTCAATAGCATCATTAACATCTACTTCAATCAATTCCAAATCTACACAAAGTCCTAACTTCTATTTTACAGAATGCTCAAGATACTTTTATCGATTTTGCAGTATAAAACTTAAACTTTGAGTAATAGAAATTCAATATTAAAAATAATGAATTGCACTTATCACATAAGAAATCCAATAACATTTATATGTATAGCTCCAGCTCCTCACAAATGTAAATGTTAAAGAAAGCTTTGTGCTGAATGCCTTTATGACCATGGGGTGGATGTAATAAATCAAACACTTCCAATTAATAAATTTCATGATCAAGTTATGAAAAAAGTAAAAGAACTGAAGCTTGATGATACATCAGAGTTAACCTAATAAAGAATGGCATTTAAATTAATGCTGTCTCAAACTGAGAGCACAATGAGAAAAATTTGGGAAGAATTATAAGAATCAATTAAATAAATATATGATTTGATTGAAAAATAAACAAAATCATATGTTGATCTCATTAACTAGAATACAAATCTAATTGAAACTTCAAATACTGAGTTAGAGAAATTAGTACAAATATTAGAAGGTAAAACCTTAAATGTTTGGAATGCATAAAAAAAATTTTATTTGATTAAGTTAGAAAAGGCAAAGAATTTATGGGGATAAGAAATAAATTCATTTAATGAATAGTTGAAGAAAGGAATGTATGAGATTCTTTCTTAACAATTTAACCCATCTACTACAACTATAAAACCTATTTAAGAAGAAGCTGAAGATTATTAAAAGAAAGAAGATTTTTATGAGATGCTAACCTACATCTAGGATATAGATGAATCTCTCTATTAGAAGATTATCGATATACTTAGAAAAGAGAAAGTTTCAGACATTATTGGATTCCTGTCAAGGACAAACAATCATCAGTTTTATGAATCTTTAAACTATAAGTAAGGGAATATTAGGGAGATCAAGAAGTAAGTAAAGAAAATAACTAATTTCTTGAGGAATATTTAGGATCATAAATTTAGTAAGGATGACTATTCTCAAGAAACATATGAAAAGGAAAGAGCATATCTGATAAAGAAGATGAAGGCTAACAAAGGGATCACAGAGTTCATCAAATTTTTAGTACGACTAACAAGCATAGATGTAAAATACATTCAATCGGGATCAAATGGACTTAGTTTATTAGTGGAAATGAAGGTTGATATAAGGAACCAATCCTTTGAGAATATCAGAATCAAGAATACTTCTTTAATTGGAGGTAATTTTGTAAGATGCAACTTGAGTGAATCAGAGTTTGAAAATGTTGAAATCAGTGGATTGAATTTGAATGGTGCTTAATTATTCAATTGTAAATGGAAGAACTTGAAAATCCATGAATTGAACAAATTAGATGGTCACAGCGGAAGTGTGTTATCAGTCTAAATTTCTCCAGATGGTAATATATTAGCATCGGCATCTGGTGGTGGTGATAAGTCTATCCGTCTATGGGATGTCAAAACAGGATAATAAAAAGCCAAATTAGATGGTCATAGT